ATGGATGGTAATAGCAATGAAAATGGGTGTATTAATTTTGTCCGTGCGGTGCATAGCCGAAATCCAGATATATTTCATCCCACTCGTTCTCGGTTCATATGGGAAAATACCTATATTCCTGACAATGAGAGTGATCTGTATGATATAATGCGTGTAGTGCCATATCGCATAAGAGCTCGAGTTTTTTTCACTTGGTTGTATTTTTGGCGTATGGTGTACACTGTGTACCATTTCTTATGCCCAGGCATACGTCATTTGGCACCTGCAGATGAAGACGACGGCCGTTTTAAGATATTTATTTGTGGTCTGTTTGAAATAACAATAAACTCAAGGTGTTCCTGGAGCTTTCGGTTCGCCCGCCGTTAAATGGGAAGAATCTACCAATCAATCCACTACAATAATTGATTCGCATTTAAATTATTTATGTATCTAAGTTAACTGTGAATCAATTATTGTAGTGGATTGAACCTAACTATTTTTGAAAAAAAACCCTACATCATCATTTGGCAATAAAATTAAATTAACAAGGAATTTCAAGTACTTCATTACAGCGAGATAAGTAATCATTGTGTATCAAAATATATGCATCTAACCACTTTCATGCAGATATTTTGCGGTGATTCAGAAGAAGTCATCGATTTATTAGTAAAAATGCGACTTAGCTATAAATACATCATTATATTCTGGAAAGAAAGGAACATTTCAAGCAATTAACTTCAGTTCGTGTTTTTTTTTGGTGAGAATAAAGTTCCATCAGCGTAGTGACTTATCTTATGATTTCTGTTTTTGGAAATGGACGTGGCACGGACGTGGTATTGACTCGTTTCGAACTGATCTTGAAAAAGCTGTAATCATAACGGGACAACATTATGCGATATGTTCGTGGTTTAATTAGATAGAAGATGATGGAAGATGGAATTTCAAAGAAGTGGAGTTGTATTTCAAAATGGTAGTGGAAGAATTTATTTTTGCAAAATTGCAACATAAAAAGTAAACAAATTACGGTATGAGATGCAACCACATCCATCGTAGTTCTGATATAAGTTACTAGCTTCTTACTAGAAGAAGCGATTAATAATCCCAATAAAAATTGTACATTAGAAGCTAATTAATCCTGGATGTGCTCTTGATATTACACCCATAGATTACCATTCGTTCTGATCTCTACAACATTCTCGTAGGTGTGAAACTGGAGTCAAAAGAAGACTGTGAGAATTGTCTAAACAAGTTTTTTAAAAATATAATTCTGTGATTTCATAATAAATAATATGTACTCTCGCTTAAAACCAATAGAAGTTTGTTGATAAAAGCAAAAAATATATTTGGATTGATTTGGATATTATTTCTGATATTATAAAGATTATTTAGTATAGAACCTTAAATATCTTTAGTTAAGTATATTACTAATGATATTCTTTGTTAAGTTGATATCACTTTCTTCGATGATATATACTTAGAATAAGGGGTTTTCTTGCTTTTATCGTTCATATGTATTGTTTACTGACAAATATTTAAAATTTTTAGCTTCATGAACTATTGAACTTAAAGACTGAAGTTGCATATTTTACGACAAAGAACTGTTGAATTATTCAGAACTCACATATCAAAATACGAGTAGTAGCTATCATGAAAGAGTTCCATAGGGAATTTTAGCACAATATCATAAATATAAATCATTTTTAAAAAAAATTGGCGAAATTACTTTTATTTTGTTTTTGGTATTAATACGAAAAGCATTAAGAAATATATTTATCTACTATTAGTAAATATATTGATATAAATAATACAATATTAGTATGTGTATAACATATACTAATTTAAGCTAGCTAGCCTGAGTCTGCAGCTCATGCATGAAACAGAATTGCACGGTTATTGCTTTTTATTTAAATATTAAATATTTTATTTACTTCATATTTGAGATCAACAATGCAAAGATATTTAAAAAGTGAAATACAGTCTCTGAACATTAGAATTAATACAAAAAAAGCCCCAAACGTACTCAAATCATGGGAGGCTTGACACTGGCAGTTCATATACCCACATATTTAGCGTGAATTTATTTTAGTATTTAATTAGCATAAATTAAATTGTAAAGTATATAACAATGTTTATATTCTATTATGTTTTCGTCATAAAGGTATTGTCTACTTGGATATAAGACACATAGTTATGTACATAAAAATACTAGAAAATGTTAAAGTTAGAAATATGTATATATATCTTACCAACATAAATATTTGCGTACGTAGCATTAAATTTAGTCCCAATGGGGATGCTAACCTTAAAGTATAGATAAAGTAATTTCTTTTCTGCTTCCGAAAACATCACCCACTTTTGATTGAGATTTCGATTAAATTTTTAGTATAATATAAATGGTATATATACATATATACATACATATATAAATATGTTATATATACATAAAGTATATAATGGACCTTGTCGTTACAACTATTATTGTCCATTTCCTCCAGTGGGGCATAAAGTCTCAATAATTCTTCTAAATATGACTCCATTTGTTGCATCTCTGTAAATGTTGTTCCATATATATCGTGCTTCAGCTAGTCCACTTTCGACCGTTCTTTTTCACGTTTTCGTTGTCGCATTAGGTCTTCTACTTCCTCATGGATTCCTTGCCAACGCTTGCCTCACTATGTAATCTCTCAGTTGTCTAAGCGTATGGCCTATCCACTTCCACTTTCTTATTTTTATCTCATTTTGTGTTATTTCGAATCGTTTGGTTCAGCAGGCGTTCATTTGATTTTCGATTTTCTTTATGTCGAGAGTGCTTTCATGTTTCATAGCCGTTGTACAAGATAGATATAACATTTGTTTTGAAGATTCGAAGTTTAGACCTTGCCATTACGTGTGAAATAAAATATTATTTAATTGCAATCAATGGCTAGACATCTTACTATATAGGATGCTTTTGTGATAATCATTTATTGTTTGCACATAGCTAGCAATAGTTTAGCCTTTACTTAAAACATGTTCATCGAGAGTTTGAGGATTGTCCACATAATCACAATTCTTTGCGCAATCTAAAATAGAAAAAGCTAACTAGTAACAAACCCCTTGATCTTGGTGATGAAATCACAACATTAAAACTTGAAATGACACGTCGGAGAAATTACTTACTGGACAACATCTTCAACAGGAAGATGACATTTAGCAACATCATTTCAAAATCACATATGTTCCATATCGATATCTTTAATATCAGGCCAAGAAAGTTAGAAATGATGTAGGTATAACGAGCAGAATTACAGTATGTGTTAGATATTTGGCAATCACATTATCGAACCAAATGCAGTATACAATGGCTTCTCGTAAATACAATAGCCTTTCATCAGTTAAATGTAGACTTTAATCGTATCAGACATTTTTGTGTAATGATATATCCAACAAGCCAAAACTAATACTCATTACTAAAGAAAAATCATTAGGGTAATAAAGTGTAAAATCTTTATAAGGATTAACCCAATCCTTATATAAAAAATATACGCTGGCATTCTCTTTCAATTCATTGAGTGTTAATCTGAAATATCTCGCCTTCTTCGTACCTTTAACGTGATTCTTCAGTTGTGGCTTATGAACGGGGTCTCATTTCTGGTATCATAACTGACTGTTATTTGTGCTTAACGATCTTTGATGCACAACTTTATAGCACGTTTATGTTGAAACTCTAATTTTATGGTGATGAATTCTCTATAAAAAGTATTATACATATAATGTATGTTTGCATTTATTTATTATTTTCTTACAATAAGACTAACAAGATGTTTTATAGATCTTACCGCTAATAACGTAACATTATAATTTTTTTTTTATCTATATTATAAATCAAACATATATTAAATAATTTGAGATAAGTCATGGCAAGTAATTCCCATAAAGGTAATGTTTCTTCTTCTGATTGCTTAATTAAAGGCTGAAAGGTTAGCCTTTAATTTCAACATTTCACTTTACGAAATTGGTGGATACTTTAAATCCATCTTGCTTTTGTAGAGCTGTTATACAGAAGTATTTTGTACTCTAGGCACATGCGGAACCTTTTTTTAATGAGTAAGTGTGATTCAGAGGTTTCGAGCTTCAGTTGAAGTTTTTTGATAACAATGTGCTTACGTCAAGTCCCTTGCCTTTTTGGATGGGAATGTTATTTAGTAAATTTGCTAGGGCGTGAATCTGATTTTGGTGAAAATGATGTGCCTGCAGTTAAACACATTTTTTTTAATTCACCTTTTTGACATAAATTTTCTTATTCCAAATAAATAAAAATAAAACTGACTATAAGCTGACACAATGCTATTTTCTAGCACTTTTTAACTGTGACATAGGGAATCGTTGTGGTGATAGCTAGACGTATTATTGAAATAACAGATATATAAAATACATAGAACATATGGCCAATGATAGTTACTATTTAAACCCTAGTTGATATATAACAATTTCCGGATATGATTAATTTAAAGGATGTGAACCTTTAAGTGTAATGTGATTTTGAAGATAGACAGCATATTTTTGTAAATAAAGATTAAAATCATATCACGATCTTAAAATTATAATCCTTTACATTCCTGTTTTGATATAAACATTATTTACACACCGATTTCAAGTTCATCAACTCTTATTACATGAAAATATATGCGATGCATATTCACGATTCATATTCACTTTAGATATCCTATATTACGAAGAATCCCTTGTCGAGTATTTTTGAAATCCATTACAGACTTATAAAGAATTTCAAAAAGTAGCTTGTTTATCTGATTTGAAACTTTTTTCTATCATTAATGGTAATTTACAAGAACTCAAGTTTTGAAACATTCACATTTTTATCGCACTGTCTTAAGATAATAATAATATATTAACACAATTCTTATAGTATAAAAAATTTGAAATTGTTTTATTCAACAATTATTTTAAACTATTAATATATTTAAGAGTATATAACAAAAGAGGTCCGTTATTTAGTTTATCAGTCCAAAAATGAGTTAAATTTAACCGCGTACTTTAACATTTGAGTTGGCATTGGCATTAGCATTGGCATTTGCGTTAGAGCCACCAAAACCAGATGATGACGATGAAGCGGATGCTGATGCTGAAGAAGATGCTGAGCCACCACCACGTCCACCACCAATATTGGAGTTAACATTGGTGTTGGCATTAGCGTTGGCATTAGAACCGCCGATACCACCACGACCGCCGCTGGAACCAGCATTAGCAGATGCACCAGCATTAGCAGAGCTTGATCCACCACCGACACCACCAAGACCTGCACCGCCGAAACCTGGACCACCGAAACCAGGAACTGCACCTGGACGTACTGGACCACCACGAACACCTGGTCCAACACCACCAGCAACACCAGCTGTAACAGCTGCATCAGCAGCAGCATTAGCGCTGCTTTGACCTTTACCGCCGAAACCAGCACCGGGTCCTTGAATGGGAACACCGTGCACAGGACCGCGTTGAGGCAATGCGCATACTGTGGCGAGTAGAACGGAAAGTACGATGAATGTCTTCATGGTGAAAATTAGTACGTGTATTGTTCAAATGGCAAATCTAAACTAACTAATCGTAAGTATTAGTTAAGGTATTTATAGCTCACAAATAGTGTAAAGCAATAGTAGAATAGCACAGCACCATGACTATGGTGGCGTCAGCAATTAGCGACTCAGCTACATAAGCAGTGATGTTGATTTGTTTGAGATGAGGTGCGAAAATCTGTGGATAGACAAAATAGAAACTTCCCCGCTATAAAATCTTATACAAATAATCAACAAATTGTGGAATAGACATAAATAGCAGTAAATAAAATGCTGCTAGAGAAAGAGTCTAAATGAGTTTAGTAATCGTCGTTATTAAAAATTTTGACCACAGAACTAATAAATCTTTAATCAAGCAAAAAAAAATAAATAAATAAAAACAACACAAATTTATAGTAAAAAATAAGTACAAACAAAAAAGTAATATATTGTTTTTTTTTGAGACAAAAATATTTCTCTTCTATTATAGGCAGTAAAATCTTATAATGATACATTTTATCTCACAAAGGGAGACACATTTTCTGTGAGTAGTTAACGCTCGACTTATTCCACACTTTTTTTCTATTCCAGCCGTACCCAAGTTTATAAGTCATGTATTCCGAATGTGAATGTATCTAACATATCATATATCTATACTCATATACAACACAATCATAAGAAGTAGTTATTTATTTGTTCAAAAAATAATGAACAAAATAAGTTCATTAGACTTAGAATGATCTTGATTTCGCTACGGAAAATTTTATTATTGTTATTCGTATGGCAATTCGATCTATAAAATACAACGTTCTATAAATTTTAATGGTTTTTCCATTCATTTAAGTAAAATCTATCAAATCTTTTAAAAAGTATTAATATAATTTTAATGTTGAATTTGTTTATATCGTCTGTCTATGATTCTTTAGATATTCACATTCCTCACAATCAAAATATATGAATATATGATATACTCTTCTTTCTTTAAAAAAGCTCAAATAAGGTGCTAAAACGTAACAAATCTAGTCATCCATAAGCCCCGCTTGAATTAGAAAACGAATTAATATATGTATAACCGTAGTCGGCAGTATTTATAATAATCACTTATTTTGCAGTTGCAAGTAGTAGCGTTATAATTCTTATAAAACCCTGCTTTCAAGATCTATCAAAAACATCTCGAAAGTTTTCAAAGAAACAAAAATTTAGTTAAAGTAAAGCAGGTAGCAGTTAAATTAAGAATAGACAAATCATAGAAATTGTTCCGAATGCCAAATCGTCTTAATGGGAAACATCTCAAAATAATAGTCCGTTGTAACGCAATGAAGATATAGACGATCGACTTTTAAATGCACCAAACTTAAGTGTTCAGTATGTATTTATTTACTATATTATTATTAAATTTAAAATAGTGCAAAACTAATAAATAATTAAAATAATAATGGATTGGATTATATTCTATTTTAAATGGTCATTAATTTTAAATATTTGCATTAGATATTGTATCATATAAGTACATAAATATTTAGATAAATATTATAGCTTCTGCCCAGTTTATCTCCATGTACAAGGAAGCGGATCCATGACCTTTATACATCTTTTACTGAATCAAATACGAGATCGAATTTTGCACCTAGAGATGTGATTAAATGATCAAAAATTGAAACCACTTAAGATGCGCTCTCCAGAAAAAACGCAAAAGTTATCATAGATCGCGGTATCCCTTAAGATAGTAGTTATAAGTAGGGTGAGACTGTCAAAGATTTAAATAAATTAAATTGAAGTAATCAATTCAAAGTCAATTTTTTTCAAACCACAATATGTGTAAATAAAAAAGACCCAAATAACAAAAAATACAAAATTAATATTTTTATGGATTAATAAAACTTGTTAGATTTCTAAGTAATTAAAATGGAACATAAAATTATCATTTGCATTTCAAATTAAAGTTTTAACAAATAAAATTGCTTACAAAATTAGACTTTACATAAATTAAAACTAAAAATATTCTTCCAAATGTTTATAAACAATATGGAATATTCTAATATCGACGGTGATTCTGAGGCTTAATTAAATTCATAGCAAATTTATTATGTAGGCGCAATTATTCCACTGTGTTATTAAACCAAAAGCATCATAGCTTGAAAAATATCTACATATCTACAGATTGATATCTATTTATCTATTTAGATAAATGTAAAATAAGAGTAGACTGTCGTTTGTGTGTGCATATGTTAAATATTTTATGGAGAGCAGAAGAGTCTGGATAATCTGAATTACTAATTATTCTCATGGACAATACATACTATTAGCGATGATGACTCTTCAAAACTTTTATAATTGAGATTAAATAATTTGTAATTAATTTTTAATACATTATTTTGTTTCTTAATTAAAATAATTAAAACAAAATAGTTATGCTAGCAAATTAATTAATATTTAAACAAATAAAATGTATATTTATAATACAATCATCGTCACTATCATAACAGTTACAACTCTCTTTAATTGTTTTTGTTTTTATTTTTGCGGGAAGAGATGGAATGCTTTATGCACTGTCTTCAGAATGGTATGCACGACTCCCTAACATTAATATGTAGTATACGGATTTAAACACTCCTTTTCTCCTTTTCGGAGAGATTTATACCACCTCGGAACTGTTTTTGCATTATTTTCAAGAAGATTTTTTTATGTGGCTTATAAGCCATGCTCTTTTGATATTCGATCTGTGTCCAGAGGTAATTGAGGAGGGTCTGTTTCTCCCTCTATCACAACTAACTAACAAATAGATGGAAGAATTATGAGATATATAATTTTATGAATGGATAGAGTGATATACAGCACTACCACAACAATAACTACAGCTTTTAACATAACAGATACCAGTTCCAGAACAACAAGACTTTTAAAATAATTAAATATATATGAGCTAAAAATAAAAAAATCTGAGATATCTATTTCTGTCATTTTCAAATTGTAATACAGATTATAAATATATAATATTATAAATCATGTTATAAAAAAACTGGTTTTGATTTCGTTATAACTCGAAAAAGAGTGAGAGTTTGTGACACGGAGATACAGTGGGAGGATAGCATAAAATATCTGGGGGCCACTTTTGACAAATGGTTCAATTGGCTTAAACATTTGAAATACAAACGGAATAGCTGCTCTAAGATTCTACATTTATTAAAGCCGCTATTTAACAATTATCATTTCAACTTTAAAAACAGAAAGTTACTTTATACGCAAGTAATTAGACCAGCACTACTGTACAGATGTATTACATATAGCAAAGCCTCAAATACTACCTTAAAGCAATTACAGATAGCTCAAAACCTGGCTTTAAGAAGACTGTTTCAAGATTTCATGGTATATTAGATCAACAGATATACATAGAGATCTTAGGATTGACTCAGTGAAAAAATATATCAGAGACAGAGCTCTAAAATTATTCATTGAAGTTGATATGCTACTTAAACCCGCCCTAACAATCCTCAAGTCCACTTTTGGACTCTGATTTAAGGTCCGTCATCAATTAAAAGACAAATAAATGATATGATTTCTAAGCCTAGTTAAAGCCTAGTGTGGGGTAGAGATAAGCCCCGCCGCCTTTATAGAGTAAAAGTGCGTAATAGCACTAACTCAAGAAGAAGAATCAAGAAGGTAGAATCGTTTGAATCTAGCATTCTTTGTTATTGAATAAAAATGTCAAAATTTCTTGTGTGATATATCAAACATATATCTCAAATAAAATTATTAGAACGTGTAGAAAGTTTCAAAATTATATTTGTTAATGCATAAATTTACAAAATGGAAACCGTTTCGAAGTGCTTTTGTTTGTCCAAAAAATGTATAATCAATTTCTATGAATACATAAAAGAATTTATACGTCACCTGATACGTGAGGTGGGTTTTGTTATGGAGCCCAGAATTATATATATGGGCGAGTGCTGGAAGAAAACGGTTTCTGTTATAAAAAATTATGAAGGTTACAGCCGTGCTTTTAATGATATACAAGCAGTCGTTATTAAAGGTGTGGAGTACGGTAAGTCTTAACATTTCATTATTTTATGTATCATCTTAGTATATTGATATATTATAATTCTAGGAGTTAAAGCAGTGCTACCACAAATGATATATCATTTCATAGCTGTAGGTATAGTTTCGTGTCTTATTGACTTAAAGTATGTTTGAATCGTATCAGACATGTGTGTGCAGGATATATAGTAGTAAAATGACATATAGGAAACTACTAAATTACGACAAATATGGTCATCTAACAGGTAAGTTCAAACTATCTTTAACTATTTGCATTAAACTAAAAATAATAGGAATATAGAGACCACTGCATCAATTGTATTCAAACCTTAATGCTTTAATAAAGTAATCCGAATTGTGAAGAGTTTGATATAAAAGGAAAAATAATTGCAGATTTTTAGATTATAATTAAAAAAAAAATGATTTCACAAATCTGTCAATAATTATCAAATAATTTACAAGGCTTACTATATTCTAAAAACTGGTAATGCTATAGTGTACCTATATGTATATAGAATAATATAGTTTTGAAACAGTTTTATTAGCACATTAATGGGATTCAGATCCAGACTATTGATTAACAGCAAAGTTTTATGAGTACAAAACGTAAAGATAAAAGAATTATGATGAGAGATTGAGAGATCAAAACTATGGTAATTTACTCAACATATCTTACAAAAACTGAGGGATTAGATGTATTTATACTAATGAAGACTTTACAGCTATAAATATTTGTATGAATGCATATATCTTTTGGATAGCTACTCGTTTGATAAGAGTATCAAATAAGCTACAAAGATAGCCCAGCAAATATTAAAAAAGTATTTCTTTATTCTTTATATTTTTAGGATTTATTAACTTCTGCCACCAAATTTTGAGATTAAAACAAATTGGTACTATGCATATATATATATAAGGTACAAATTAATTTATAGATTTTATTTGTAATACTGTAGCAGAAGTTA